ATAATAATAATTCAATTCTATTGGTATAATGAATAAAAAATAAATTTCTCTCATATATAAAAGAGACTCTCTATACTTAAAGCTTTCTCTAGTTATATATATTTTGGAGAATAATATAAAGAATAAACTGGAGTAATATAGAGAAAAAAACACCATTTTTTTTATCTTAGAATTATGTTGAAGATGCTCTAAAATAAAGAAAACTAAAGAAAGAAAATTAATTCTACAAATTTTGACAGATAAATAATAAATTAATTTCCTTCTAACAAAAAAGACAAAATCTCTAAAAATAATTAAATTGAAACTAGAAAAAGATACTATTTTAATATTTTTTTTTTAATTCCAACATATTCTCAGAAATGAGAATGCAAAATAATGAGAATAGGACATTAAGTTAAATGACAATTTCCTCCAATCAAATTGGCCTCTTAACCATTTCTCTCCTGGGTTGACAATATCACTACTTTTGTGTTTGCGGACCTAGCTAAAGACCCAAAATTCAACACATATATGCAATTGCGACAACCATATATTATGACGGCTAGGTCCGCAATTGCAACGGTAAACTGGTTGAATTTAACATTTTTTTTTGTGTTTTAGCTATTGCAAACCTGGGTATTGCGGATCTAATGACATTTGGGTCAACCCGAAAAATAAATGGTTAGCAAGCCATTTAAATAAGAAAAATGATCATTTGAGCTTTCCTCCTAATTTGGTGAGGTTTGAAAACTTATGGGTCTATAATATTATATTATATCAAATCAAACTACATTTTTCATTATCATTTTATTCTTTACCTCTTCAATATCCCAACCAAATTTCCCCTTTAGATAACTACATTTTATTCCAACATAAAGATAAAACAATATTTGATCTTCTATATTAAAGATAAATTAATTTTTTATTTATCTTCATTAATAAGATTAAATTATTATTATTTTATATCCTAAAAAATATATTAAGAGGATAAATTTACATCATATTTTTATAATATAATGAATGTTAAAATATTTAAAATAAAGGATTTGTTTTGAAATTAATTGTATTTATTTTTAAAGATTTTGATTTTTTATTATAGAGATTATGTAAAAGTACTTTTAAAACTATCTAATATAATTTCTTACGGGATCTTTAATTCATCAAGATAATAGATAAATAGTATATACGTAAAAAAAGTAGGTGGAAAATATAGAAATAAACACATGTGAACAAAAATTGCATATAACCCTGGAAATAAATCCAAAAATAATCAAGAAGAAAAGGTTGTTGCAAATTACATTCCGCTCCCTTGTTGTTTTGACTTTTCAAATTTTGAGCTACACCTTCTAATTTTCGTATCTTTTTTAATCTAAACCATGTTTAATTCTTTTGAATATATCAAGTTAGAACATCTTCGGTAGCTGTGTTATAATAGAAGTTTTGATGGTTTAGAAAAGCGTTATACATCAACAACTATGTAGTAACTCTGAGCTACCCACAAAACAAATGATCGGTTTGAGATTAGTCGATTCAAATAACGGATTTGATATCTAGATTAATTAAAAAAAAAGTTTGTGTGATCAAAAGATTTCTTTTCAAAAATAATGAAAAGTAGAAGGGGGAAATATTGAAATAGAGGTTCTTTCCAATTTCAGCCCACTTTCCGAAAACAAAGAAAGGCATTAATGGCAGAAATTTGTTTGAAAAAAGCAAGAGTGGGACCCAGAAACCACCCAATGTGGCAAAAAGAAGAAGAGAGAGAGAAGAAAAGAGTCATGCAGGCAATAGACTCTCGTTGAATTGCCATGCAAGCTTGCCGTTTCCATATCTCTTCGCCATTTGGGGGAAACGCCTCTTTATCTTCCCCACTCTCCCCATATTTAGCAACTTACCCCATTCACCAAACAGGGTTTTAGAAGGTTTCTTTTTCCTATTATATATACATATATATAGAGGGAGAACCAAATATTAATTTGGGGAAAAAACCAGAAATTCTTTCTGGGTTGTTTTCCTTGTTCAATTCGGTGTTCGATTTTGTGGGGTTTTCTGGGTTCGATTTAAGATGGGTAGAGGCAAAATCGAAATCAAGAAGATTGAGAATGTAAGCACCAGACAAGTGACGTTCTCAAAGAGGCGTGCTGGATTGCTTAAGAAAGCGCATGAACTTGCTGTTCTTTGCGATGCCGAAGTTGGAATCATTGTTTTCTCTAATACTGGTCGTCTTTACGATTTCTCCAGTTCTAGGTATACATTGTTGCATGTGTTTTTGGATTCGATTTTTGAGTTTCTATTGCTGTTTGTTCTTTCCCTTTTGGGGGTTTTAAGTTTAATCAAGATTTATGGGTTAATGGGTGTTATTTATTGTATAAATCTTTCAATGCTATTGATTTTGGGGATTCAATTGAAGTTTACAATTTGCGATTTCTGTTTTTTGGGCTTGAAAAAGTCCGATTACTTGTTCTATTGAATGGATCTATGTCTGTTTGCATGTGATTTAATTCTCGATTTCACAAAATCAGTTCAACGATTCATATATGCATTCCTGATGATGATTAACTAAGATCCCCAAATCCCTTCTAAAGAAACGTTCTTGCATTCTGGTGTCTATGTTTACATTCATCTTAAATCATTCTTATTCTGATTGATTTCTTGGATTTTGGATTATTGTTTCCAGCCAATTGATTTTTGTCTGCATATTCATTCATTCATTCCCATTTTCTAGTCTGGTTTTTATGGAGAAACTGCTAAATTCAGTGTTAATGGTAGTTTTTGAATCCAATTAAGGTTTCCGAAAAAGAACAGAGCTATTTTCTAAACATAAGTGTGTATGAGTTTTTGTATAGAGGATAGAATCACATATTCAACTGATACACATATTCATATGTGAAGATAGCAGTGTATGAGTTTTTGTGTCTGCATATTCATTCATTGATCCTTTTGTGGTGTTTTTTTTTAATTTCATTTTGTACATGTTCTTGCACTTTTGTCGATTTCTTCTGTAAAATAGCAACTTTCAAGGATTACAAGACGTTGGACATCTTTACAAATGAGTGGGAGGTTTGGGGTTACCTATCTTACCCTCCGACACACAATTGTCCTATTTCATGATTGCCATGAGACCGGTACAATTGAGGCGTTTCTGAGGACGACGTTGTACCTTTTTTCAAAACTAATACATCTCTTGATGTTCGTTTTTAGAAGAAAAAGAAAATAGTTTTTGTAGTACCGCCTACATGTTACTCATGTCAATTGTCATGTCTTATAGTTTTCAAAGTAGGACGTAGGGCCCTCAATCGAATGATTATTTAAGGGTCCTACGGTAAGCTTTGGTAAATAGAATTTTCTTTTGGCTTTTAGCGTCAAGTTAAAAATTTTCTCAATTAGGAAAGTTATAATGTATTGTATGGGTAGTAAACACACGACACATGTTAAAGGTACCATCAAACTTAGTATCAGATGATGTAGATGATGGCGAGTCTTATTTTGTTTGTTTGACTTATTCATTCTTTCATCATATCTCTTCATCATATACGATAAATTTGAAGGTATCTTTAGCTATTACATTGCTAACTACATCAAACTATAGAAAAAAAACTATGCAAAAAGGGTATGAAATTGCATGTCTCAGGGACAAGTGAGTCGAACCCTGACCTTTCACTCATTCTGCAAGGATGTTACCTACGTACCTGCCAAGCTAAAGCCGTGGGACCAACTATTGAAAAAAATGGTGAAGTAAAGAAAGGCTAAAAGTTGCAATTTAAACCTTTTCATGATATAGTAATTGATTTTTATGATAACATTCAACTCATTTTCATGATATTGCAGCATGAGGGGAATTATTGATCGGTATAATAGGGCTACTGAACCATCTACATCACAATTGCAGGTTGAGATGGTATTCAAATCTTATATTTTTCCCTTTTCTAAATATAGTTCTATTCGGGTGCATTTGGTATGCAGACTACATGGGACAGGACGAGACAAAAAAATAGTCCCATGTTTGGCATGTCATGGACAAAAAAAACATGGGACAAGGTGGGACTATTTTTAATTTTAGTGGGACAAATCTTGATATTTCTTGTTCCACCAAAAAAGGTGGAACAACATGAGACTAAAGTTAAAATGACAATATTTTGATTGATTTGTTGTCATTTTACAATCATCATATGATATAAAATAACATTGAACAACATTTAGGGGTAATATGGTCATTTTAATAGTTTTGTCTTGTCCTGTCCTAGTCGTACCAAACATAGGACAGACGATTAGTCATGTCCTGTCCCGTACCGTCCCGTCCTGTTCCATCCAGTCTGCGTACCAAACACTACATTCGTATTTCATATATAATAAAATTTGCAACTTATGCTGTATGTAGCGAGCTTTGAGTCTAACCGGTAAGGTTATTGTTTTGTGACGAGAAGGTCACGTGATGTTTTTGCAAAACGTGAGGGAAGGGATTGCCCTTTTTATGCCTAGTATCGTATATATACACCCATTGTTGATTTCATGTATTTCTTCTTTTGTGAATAGAGGCAAGAACAAGCTGAGCTTGAAACTTTGAAAAATGAAGTGGCAAGACTTAGAAGCGAAAATGCGTATGTACTCATTTCATTATTCTAATATATATATATATATATAGGGGCCGGTTCATATAAGAAGTCTAAATATCGTGAGAAGGTAAGAAGGGAAAGTTTATATGTAAATCCATTGAAAAAATCTGAAAGAAAATCTATTTAAAGATGCATATGTGAACCGACGTTACAGATTATTCATATGGGTTCACAAATGCATCTTCAAATGGTTTTTTTCAACGACTCACAAATGAACCTTCTCTTAACATTCCGTTCTTACCTTCTCATGATATGTTGTCTTCTTATTTGAATTTGAATGTCCAACTACATACATATGTGTGTGTGTGTGTGTGTGTGTTGGTCTTTCTCTTATTGCAAAGAGATGGTAAAATTATGTTGTGAAGCTGTTGGTAGTTATGTTGATGGTGTAGGCGGTTGATGGGCAATAATCTTGGGGGCACGAGTGTGCAGGAACTGCACAAATTAGAGCAAAAACTGAATGATAGCTTAATTTCTATTAAAGATAAGAAGGTTGGCTTTTATCTTCACCACCACCACCACCACTACCACCACCACCACCACCACCACCACCACCACCACCACCATGCACAATTAACGTATGAATATGTATGATAAATGATCTTTTCAGGATGCTATGTTGTTTGAGGAGATTGAAAGATCAAATCGCAAGGTAAATTCTACAACTTATTTCATTTGACTCTTCTGACTCGTATTCAGAGGTACAACGCAGAATATAATCGAAACAAAAATGAAATTTTTGTTATGGTTTTTAAGAAGATGATGAATATATATTACATGTTAGTAAGTATTAACTGTTTTTGTTGTCTAGGAGCGAGAGCTGGGCTATGAGAATGAAGTTCTTCGAGGAGAAGTAATATATTCGTTACTACATTGGATTGACTGAAGTTTCTTAATTAAGTAATCGTCCTTTTGTTTAATGTTTAGTTGTACGTATGTATGTTGGCAGATTGATAAGTTGACGCGGTTTATCCCGTTAACTCAGCAGCCGAGTCAACCAGGTTTCCTAGAATACACTCCTGCTGCTGCTGGGCCAAGTAGTAGTGCTGGTCTCTCGAGGCAGGACCGAGTTAGCCCTGATACTGTGTGCTACTATGGATCTGACAACACAGATTCAGAAACCGCACTTCAGTTGAGGTACGGATCTATTCAAACTCAAATTTGTTACACACATACACACATATATAGGGAGACGAAGTATCGTGTAAGAAAAAGAGTTAAGGTGAGAAACGTAAGAAGAGATCTACACCTTTGATCACTTTTAATCTCATGTCCACCCATGAATTGCGTATTAGAAGGGAATTGATCCAGTGCATCGCGGTGCATCTCATTAGTGTTGATCTTCAATTAGGATTGATCCAAGGGTGGAGATCCCTTCTTACTCTTCTCAACGGAACCCAACCCTATATGGGGAAGGGTTCAAATGATACCACCTTTATTTTGCGAAAACACTTTTTTACTATGGTCAATCACATGAGATATACATACTAAATTAGAGATGCGGGCGACCTTTAGCATGACCTAGGTCGTGGACTGAGCCACCCACACATCACCAGCCACCAGGTCCCTTACTTGTATTATCACATGTGACAAGTGTGTTCTCGTATTTTCATAAAATGAAGGTGTTTTCATTTGAAACTCCACCTATATACATGTCTGTGTGTATATAATTTAAGACGAGAACGGATGAAAATGATTCACATTGGTAAAGGGAAATGTGGGTTTGCATATATATCTTTATATGTAAATAATTGGTACAAAGGTAAGCAACCAAACGTGAGTTCAAATATGCATCTTCAAATGGATTTACGTATATGAATCATTTACCCCTACGATTTTAACCTTTTTCTCTTTCTTATTTGAATCTTCCCATATATTCACACACACACACACAGTTTTTGGTGATAATATTATCTCATTTTCATAAAATGTAAATATGCTTTGAAGATGGATCTTGAAACTGTAAACCCCACGAAGCCAGTAAATCTAAAACTGTAAACCCCACGAAGCCAGTAAATCTAAAATGGTTCTACTTTTCTGTTTTTGCCAATTCCACAGGTCGATATGATGTTTTGTTCTCGAATACATTTGTGAATGAATCTGATATGGAGTGTTAGCTTGTTGTGCAGGCCGCCATGCAGTGACCACTTGAAAATGAAGGAGGAGGCGAAGAGAGAAAGTAGTTCGAGTCGTTCGTCTGATAGTAAAGATATGGAGGAGTGATGAATCGTTTTTGTCATAGGAGATTGTTTGAATTACGGTTACAGGTTTTGTCTGATCAGTCTTTAGTACCTTAATTGGGATTCATTTCCATTCTGAAACATTAATTGTTCTTTGCATATCAGATACTCCAAGATCCTTGGAGCTGTAAGTTGCTTCATAATAGGTTATAAACTTCGAGTTGAAAGGGTATTTCAATACGAAGCAGCAGGGTACATTTGTCTTTTGAAATGAGTAGGGATATTTGTGGTTTGTTCCAACCTATGCTCTTGTAACGGTAAAAATTCAAAATTACGGTCGCGACCGATATTTGAAATAGCGGTTATAGCCGTCCAAAAATAGGAAAAGTATTAATAAACGAGCTAATCGCAAGCAATAGGTTCAACATCTGAATCAACATCATTTAATAAGTTCACTTCTTCATTTAGGCTAGCTTCCCCTTCTCCTCTTCATCTCCAATGTTAATGGATTAAACTTAAGAAAAATAAAAGCCCAACAAAAGAAATACCGGAAATAAAGTCCAACTATCTACTGAAAATAAAGCTCAAACCCCCCCAAAAAGTAACGTTAATATCGAACGAATTGACCCTAAATATCGGTCAAAATTACGGTAAATGGCCATGATAATTGCGCTACCGCAATTTAAATCGCAATTTAACCACTGTTATTTTACTAATGTTCGCTATTCGAAATATCGTCGCAACAACAACGCTATTACACTGCAATTAACAGCATAGGTTCCAACTTTAGTGGGTACCGGTTCATCGTTCACGTGATCTGATTAGAGACGGGGATTCCCTGCACTAACAGGTCGAGAGACAGGTATTTTATTATGCTCAAATTTTTTGTTATATTATATGCTATATTGTTTTTCACATCGATTGGAAGACCATGCACCTCCATGTAAGGTCACTTATCTTTCGTTATTCTTGTCTATTTTATTCTATCCCAATAAGTATGGATGCCATCGTATAATTCCTTCGTCCAAAGATAAAAAAATTTAAGTTCGTGAAATGTGCAACTGTATTAATTTGTTTTGTGCTACCGTATGTATTTTGAAACTACAATGAGAACAAGTTATATTTAGTAGAGTAGGTTTGCAAGACTTTTATTTCACCCCAGACTCAAGCTCGAATCCTGTTAGTGTCATTTTTCTAGTCAAATGGTGTCATCATTTGAAAAAAAAATTGTATATTTATTTTTTATAGTCAAACGGTGCCATCGTTTGAAATTTTTTCCCTATATTTTTTTCTTCTTATAATCAAATTATGCTACCGTTTGAAAATATTTATGAGTCCGTCTCTGCTAATAAACCTTTTTTCTTTCTTAATATTTCGTACACGAATGCGTTATAAATGAGGTCAAAACGTCACTTCATTTACTAATCATGTTGTATAATTTTGATTTTAAAAATAAAACGACATGTTGCATGACGGCTTGAATTACATTCTCTCTTCGGCAAAAACCACCTCCGTCATTTTCAAAATGGTCATTGCATGGAGGCTTGAAAATTAATAGTCGAAAAGATAATATCCGATTGATTCACAAATGTATTTGAGAGCAAAACATCGACTCATGGAAAATTACAAAAAGGTCTAGTATTTTCTAGGTATGTAAGGTTTATTAGTACAGTTTGGCTTTTTGAGGTCTGGCAGATAGTTACATATTACATATGGGAAAGAGACGATAACACCAAAGTGTTGTTATATACGTATGGAAATGGTGGATAAATTTGAGTTTGAAAAGTAATAGGAAAGATGATCGTTAAGTCCTACCGTACCAGAATTAAAGTGTTGTCTCCGAATCTATGTTGTCGGATCCATAGTAGCAAATTGTATCCTACTTCGAGAATTCAACACTTCTGCTTGGCACAACAGCAACACGATTGCATGAGTGTGTTCTAGGAAACCTGGTTGACTCGGCTGCTGAGTTAACCGTCCACCAAGATTATTGCCTTTCAACTGCCAATCTAAGGCTGAATTGGCACATGATTTCTCGAGGCTTTGGTTGTTCTCCTCTATTTACAAATGAATATACACACAAGAAATCAACAATGGGTGTGTGTAAACAAGAGATATAATATATAGCTTAGAATCTTGTATGGCTAGAACGATACTAGACACAAAAGAGTGATCCATTCCTTACTAGTTAGTTTCAGAGCTTGCTTTATACAAATACGTTGTAGATTCTATTATGAACCTAAATACAACTCCAGTACAAAAGGGAAAAATATAAGATCGAGTACCATCTCAACTTGAAATTGTGATGTAGATGCTTTTGTAGCCCTACTGTGTCCATCAATTATTCCCCTCGTGAAGCAATATCATGAAAATGATTTGATCCTTTTGTCATATATAAAATCAACTGGTCTCGTGCAACACCCTAAACTCCACATTTGCATATAACATGTATTTCATATATCAAGAAATATACAAATTTTACATCTTCAGTCCCAACTGTACAAGAAACTATAATGCATAATTTACAACTCAAAAATTCCAAAAATACATTCTTGTACTCCACTTGTATAAAGAAGCAAACCAAAAAATCCATCAGATAATATGTTGATTTTCATAGATAGGTAAGCATCAATAGAAAAATAATCACATTTTCCCTTTCCCCTAATCCCTGGACATAGTCTGAACTGCAATGCATATTTTTAAAACACAAAATAAGGATTAGACTTTGAGGTCTAGTGATAAATCCTTTTTCTTTGCAATTACATGGTAAAGATCACCAAAACATGTTACGAAAATTACCTTTGAACATCCGACCAATTTGATAAAATATAACTTCAGTAATACAACAAATTGCAAGTTATAAATACATTTTTTGCCACATAAGAAATATAACCACTCAGGTTCTCATAGACATTTGGTACACAATTCCCAAAACTCTTAAATCTCATAAGACCAGAGCTTATAAACTCAACTTTCAAAAACATATAAAGAAATACCAACGACCAGAGAGCTCTTGGTCATTAATTAAAACTTTTAAAATAAGAACTGTTTTGAACTCATAAGAAAATTGAATTGAATAATAACCAAAGACCCTCCAGGTTTTATTTTAATTCATTACTCTTTTGAACTGTCAAAATATAATATTTGATATCCTAAAAACATTTGAAAGACGGGCAATTAATACCTCCGGCTATAAGCCATTTTCCTCTTCTTAATAACATAATTGTTATCATTTCAATAAGAACAATATTTCCAGGTCTTCATGTCACAAAAAAATGTTAACTCAAAATTATCGCATCTTATGGATGTGACAACACGAGCTATAATAGTAACACAGCTCTCACAATTGTCACCCTTATCCCAATGTAGACCTCTCCTTGATATACCACCCTTATCCTATAGTACATCTCTTCTTGATATGCCACCCTTAGCCCATGGTACACCTCTCCTTGATATGCCACCCATGTTTCCTCATTAAATCTGCAGTTTTAGCCAATAATGACCTAAAAAACAGTTTCATTTCAGAAACTTTATCTCAAGAACTTTCACAGTCCTTAAACCCATTTTTCAATATTATCTCAACATCTCTATCAAAAACAGTTTACTTCTCAACAGTTTTTGAATACCATAGTATCTTTCCTCAAAAGCAACATTCGAAAGATACATAAAAGTAACATTAGTCCTCGTCGGACAACACTTGGGTATTAAAACATCTTCACCGGTCAATACTGTGATCGGTAACATTCTCACCGGTCAACAATTGAATAATTAACATTTAAACCAAACAACACTTAGAAGATAGATATCCACTCTGAACAATGCTTTGTCCGATAAACATCCTTATCGGACAAAGTATTGGGCGATGAACACCCAATCCAGTCAACACTCTAAAACCATAATACTCAGTCTGTTAAGACTTGAGCGATAAGATGCCCAATCTGAATAACACCTGGTCCGATAAAGAAACTCACCAGACAAAACTTCGTCCGGTAAAGGTCCTCACTGGACAACACTTATATACAAGTTTTCTCGCCAGTCAATGCATGACTGATAAGTGACCCTCAACGGAAAACACCGTGTCCGATAAAAACCCTTCATCGAACCATACCTTTAAACATAAGAATATATACAACATACGTACAACACGCTGCTCATAAATTCTTGACATGAAAACCAATATTTTAACAGTACATATTCAAACTCAAAGACTGTTTGTAAAATGCTCACCTTATGCCAAGAATTCGAAGATGAAATATGCACACAAAAATTGCTTCCACTTTGATTACAACTTTAACTTAGCAAATTTCACACATATATCTCTCTTCCCAGTTCTTTCTAAAAATGGCAACTCCCTTTGCCTTTTTCAAAATTCAACTTTAATTACTTCTAAAATTAGACGGTGAAGGCTTAATATTATAAAATTCCCCCCAACTCACCTCCACATTCTTATGCATGCATAAACTCATATGCACATATTTACATATACATACCCATGTATACATAATATGTATTGGTGTATATGTGTATATGTACACATATACACCAATGCACATATTCATGCATGCTTCATGAATTAACAAATAATCACGTAACCAGCAACTTATATATTTTCAAATAATTACCTTCAATTATAACCAAAACCCGGTTTTCACATTTTGATCCTATGATTGCTTTTTAGTGTAGCCATAGGACGGAGACCAGGAATGTAATTCATTCTAAAATCAATAACTATCATGAAAAAAGTTTAAATTGCAATTTTTAGTTTTTTAGTTCACAATTTTTTTTATAGTTGTGACTCCAACTTAGTCTAGGAGGAGGTAAATCCATAAATATCCTTAAGAATAAGTGTGTAGTCTATTAAATTGAATTTAGAGACCACACACCTTCTCTTGGAACATACGATTTACTTCCCATAGTACTAGTTATGTGGGATATTAGAAGTCAAAAGAAAGTTATGTTTACCAAAGCTTACTTTAGGATCTTGAAATAATCATTCGATCGACCCCTACTTCGATAACCGTAAGACATGACATTGACGTGAGT